TTTCAGAATCCTTAGGGCAGCGGGGAGGGATAATGTTCCCTGAATGCACCCCCTGACTCAGTCAATAATGTTTCCCCCTCTCAATGTTCAGCCCCTTGCTGCCTCTTGTCTGACATCTGAACAGGGTCATTTAACATATTCTGTCTGGTTTTCTAGCTGTTTATGGCAGGAGGACACTTCTGGGCCCTGTTCTTCAGGACTGTAAGCAAGGAGTCTCAGCATTGTTGTAATCCCTACATTCCCCCACCATTCTACAAAGGACGTGAATGTCCGGTGAATTTATCCTTGAGAAATGCAGATTGCAGCCTCGGGTCCCCCATAGCAAGCATTCTATTTGGTTTGAATCACTTTAATGGGGACTTAAATTCAAGCCACACTGGAGCAGTGAGGTCCCAGAACCTTAGCAGGGAAGCTACATAAAACCATTTTTATGCTCCAATTTTCACACTGTCAGTAGTTAGAAATTTATTTAAATGACCCAAGTGGCAGCCAGCCTGGTTTAGTGAGCAATTCCCTCAAACAATAATTCATGTGCTCACTCACCTTGAACAAACACTTCCCTTCTGTAAGCCTCACTTTTTACATCTGATAAATAGGAGCATTGGAGCCAATGTGCTCTTGGTTCCCCTTCTGGCTTTACAATCCATAGTTTCAGGCAAGTTGTCTATAATCAAACTTGTGATTGACATGGTTAATGGAATTAGAATGGTATTAGAGGCACAGATGGTAGAGTTATTTGAAGAGGACAGTATGGAGTGAAGGCAAGAGCAGACTTTCAGAACCAGCATATCATGAAAATGGAAGGGGAGGTTCCCCCAGCAGCCTGCAGCCTCCCACTTCCCAGATGGACATGCTGGGCTTGCTGGCATTCCGAGACAACCTCAGGATGCTGAACTGCCCTTCAGGGCAGTGGGAAACATGCCTCCAGGACTTCAGGCTTTTCAGAGAGAGCCCAACAGAAAGTCTCTTCCTTGCATACAGAGATATTTTTATATTATCTTTATTGTAATAACTTTATTTTTTTTTTAATGTCTACTGACTCCAGTGAGTAGAGAAAAACCGCAATTTGAGGGAAGCAGGGACACAGTATGAAAAATGGGAGACAGACCACACAGGCGCTTCAAATTACAAAGTTTTGGGGCGCCTGGGTGGCGCAGTCGGTTAAGCGTCCGACTTCAGCCAGGTCACGATCTCGCGGTCCGTGAGTTCGAGCCCCGCGTCGGGCTCTGGGCTGATGGCTCAGAGCCTGGAGCCTGTTTCCGATTCTGTGTCTCCCTCTCTCTCTGCCCCTCCCCCGTTCATGCTCTGTCTCTCTCTGTCCCAAAAAATAAATAAATGTTGAAAAAAAAAATTTTAAATTACAAAGTTTTACATGCTTCAGGGGTCACTCTCCAATGGATTCTCCTGGTCTCCTCATTGTGACGTGCCTTCTGATGAGGTCTTGTCTCCATACCAGCTGCAGGAATTACATTGTTCCCTCTGCCTCTTCTGCCCAGGGCAGTGGATCTTCACAGATAACTGTGCCCTGAGAGATGGGCTTCCTTTGCTTTTTGACAGACAATCTAGAGAAAGTCAACCAGAGCCGCTTAAATTCCCGAAAGGGACTGACTAGTGACTCTGGCACTTTGATGTGCATCCGAATTACCTCTGAACAGGATTACAAGTACCCATGACCAGATCCCGCTCCTGACCAGTGCATCTGACTAGCTGGGGCCAGGGAGGGCATCTCCAAGTTTCCCAAGCTGCCCAGGTGATTTGGATGCATAGCAAAGTGTGAAAACTCATCAAATAGACCAGGGGTCGGGGCGCCTGGGTGGCGCAGTCGGTTAAGCGTCCGACTTCAGCCAAGTCACGATCTCGCGGTCCGGGAGTTTGAGCCCCGCGTCAGGCTCTGGGCGGATGGCTCGGAGCCTGGAGCCTGTTTCCGATTCTGTGTCTCCCTCTCTCTCTGCCCCTCCCCCGTTCATGCTCTGTCTCTGTCCCCCCCAAAAAAAAAAAAAAGGTTGGAAAAATAGACCAGGGGTCAGCTAACTTGCTGTAAATAGCCCATTAGTAAACATTTTAGGTTTGTCAGCCATAGGGTCTCTGGCATAACCAATCAACTTGGTCCTTGTAGCATGAAAGCATCCATTAAGCGTGTAAATGAATGAATGTGATTATGTTCTGTAGATCTCTATTTCAGGACACTGACATTCAAATTTCCTATCATTTTCTTGTATCACAAGATAGTAATCTTCTTTTGAATTTTTTCAGCCATCTAACAATGTAAAAACTCTTCTTCACAGGCTGTGCAAAAATAGGTGATGGGTCAGATTCGGCCAATGGAATGTAGTTTGCCAACCCCTAATGTAGACCAACTCTCTCATTGTCAGATAGGAAATTTGGTGTTGGAAACAGGCTGGTGTTGGGCTAGTGTTGAGGCTGGCATTACATTCCAAGGCTTTGCCTCTTCCACCATTCCAGGTAGCCCAGGAGAGATTGCAGAAATGGCCATTTTAACACCTTTGGGGATCTTCCTGGGTGTGTCCATGCCCTCTTCAGTCTGGGTACCTGGAAAGAGTAGAGTGGGGCCAGAGGGGTGTCTTCTTCATTTATGGTGTCCCAGCAACAATACCTGGCAACATGACGGCATGAATAAAAGGAGAAATAATACTGACATAATGTCAAAGAATATCTCATAGCCGTCAACATTTTCCATTTCAAGGTGTTTTGCATTCCACACATCTCTAATAGCATCCTGAGAGTCTACATTAACCAAATAAGCAAATTCAGCCTCCCCACCCAGCTCCACACATGGAAGGCATTGGGGGTCCAAGGGTCCACTTGGACACTGGGCTTTCCCTCACTTCTTTCCACTTCCTCCTTCCATTTCCTCCTCTGCTGCTGTCACTCCCTACGTGTAAACTAGTGGTTTATTCCCTACCTTAGGGAAGCAGTCTCCTCCATGTCTAGCTCATGAAAGGGAGAGGCAAGAGAATATTTATCATGAGTAAGATGCCCAATTCTGAAAACACGAGCAACAGAGAAAAAAAGAAAAGACTTCTTGGTTTTGCCCCACGTCATCTTTAGGGTCATATTCTCTTTTGTAGTGCTGGAATTATCCTTGAGATCAACAATTTTACCATTTCTCAAATTATAGCCCACGGAACGTGGACTTGGGCTGCAAGCTTCTCCTTGAATAACACTGGAAACGCTGCATTTTCCCTGACTTAAAGTCACGCTGTACATCAGTGCGTTAAAAACAAGAATCAGCCTTGCACTGAAGAAACTCATTTCACCTTCTGTAACCCACTGTTTCCCCACACTGAGCCTTTTTCCGTGTGCCACATACTTACATGCTGGGGGAACTGGTCCAGACCAGCGGAACCACCCCAGAGGATATGTGACTCTCATATGGCCCAACCTTACTCTATGTTACATTTTCCATCTGATTTGCTTTCCCTCTCCCACTCCAACTATAGGCTCCTGGAAGGGTGCGCTGGGTCCTCCTCACTTTATATTAGACAAGGTTTCTCAACCTCAGCACCATTGATGTTTGGGGCAGGATAATTCTTTGCGGTGGAGGGGGCCATCCTATATTTTATGGGATGTTTAGCAGCATCCCTGGCCTCTACCCTCTAGAAGACAGTAGCACTCCATTGCCATAATCAAAGGTGTCTTCAGACATTGCCAAATGCCTCCTGGGCATCAGAATTGACCTTAGTTTGGAACCACTGAGGTAGACTATCAAGGTGTGCTCCTGCAGGCCTCCCAGGCAATATTTGTGATACATGGGTGAACATATCAATCTCCTGAGTTTAGAAGAGAAAAAAAGGAGGGTTCCTTCAGGCATGCCTAGCTGTGAGGCGCCCATGCTACTGCAGTGACACCTCTTTTGCTCAGGCCTGCCCCATCCATCCCTGCTGCAGATTCTGACATTGCTTGCTTTGCTTAACAAGCTCTTAAGTCTCATGCATGGGAGCAAGTGAGATACAGCACGCCTCAGGAGTCACAGCACACCTCAGGTGACAAGCCAGAAAGGGAGGGAAGAGGTTTTCCTCTACACCGCGAACACTCTGGATTTCACAACCTTAACAGCATGGCACAAGGCAGTCAGATGCTTTTGTTTTTCATTGTCAGAGAGAAGTGTCAGGCTTTCAAGTGAATGTGAAGCTTCCCTAGGATGCTTTTCCTTCTCGCAGCCTCACAACATAGCCTTGCCAGTGAATATCAATCTCTCCAGCCCAAGGGGTTTTCTTAGCTCATTCTCTTTCCCCTGGGTCCCAGCCACAAGTTGCTTAAAGAAATTTTCCAGCTGTATTCTAACTTCAGTATGAGTGCTAAAGAGTTCACAGTTGCTGAAGCTCCAACGCTCATGAATCTTGGGAGACAATTTCAATAATTCCTTAGAGCAGGGGTCAGCAAACATTTTTTATAAAGGACTAGAGAGTGGATAATTTAGGCTCCGTGGGCCAAATGGTCTCTGCTGCAATTACTCAAGTCTGCCGCTGTAGCCCAAATGCATCCACAGACAATATATAAATGAATGAGCATGGCTGTGTTCCAATAAAACTTTATTTATAAAATCAGGTTGTGGGCCAGGTTCAACCTACAGGTCATAAAGACTCCTGCTTTTGAGCATCTTTAATGAATGAACCAGCCCTTGCTGCCACCATGAGTAAAAATGTGCTGTTCTTCTGACCAGCTGAAGTCATATTCCACATTCCCCACAGACAGACAGACGGATTGATAGGTAGTCTCCCAAAAGCAGTTCCCAATCACAAAGTCCTTTTGGTCTCACATTACCATTCATCTGCTGCCAGCCGTTCCAAGTTACTAAAGTTGAGCCTTGAACTTGCTTTCAAAAAGGCAGATGCTACCAGCAGGAGACTGCTCCTCTTCTCTGGAGGTTGATCTCACTTTTCCCGATTACCGCCCCCCCCCCCAGGAAAATATGCAAGTCATGCAAATGCAGCCATGAGGACCACTGCCTGAGCTCTGAGCTGGAAGACGATCGGAAAATTGGCCGCTTGCTGATGGACTCCAAGTATTCCACCCTCACAGCCCGAGTGAAAGGCGGGGACGGCATCCGGATTTACAAGAGGAATCGGATGATCATGACCAATCCCATTGCCACTGGGAAAGATCCCACCTTTGACACCATCACCTATGAGTGGGCCCCCCCTGGAGTCACCCAGAAACTGGTAAGACAGCTTCCTCCAACCAAATGGTTGTTGTCCTGTCCTTGTAAATGTTAGTCATGCCTGAATTTCAAAGACAAGGTAAGAAGAGGGCAATATTATAGAAATGATAGGAATAACTAAGGTTCCAAACCTGCTCCTGCATCACTTATGTGATCTTGAAGTGAAAACTGTCTGGGCCTCGGTTTTCCTCTTCCATGAAATGGATAGAAGTGTTTCTGTGAATTCTGAGGGCCCTTCCAATTCCAGTACAGGGTCGTTCATGATTCCCTTTGGGCTCCCCACCTCTGAACAAAGGCTGACTTATCATTCAGGACTCCCACAGTGCTTGTCTTCATGTGTGAGTTGTTCCTTTTCCCTCAGAGTGGCCTGGGATGTATCCTTTGCAGGCCTGTGGGGGAGCACAAAAACAGTCCTCTCTTCTTGCCAACAGCTGAAGGCTCTTAGCCTTGGAAGGGAGAACCAGACTAGCTTTACACAACCCTGGGGGTGAGGCACCCAGAGAAGGACAACATCCAGAGAGAGCAAGTAACTTGCACAAGGTCACACCCTGGCTGCCCACTACAAAGACCCGTATCAAGTTCCCATGCACAGGCCTCACCCCAGATCAGAAGCTCCAGATTACAGGATCAGAATCACCAGACATGGGCATTTAACTCTTCAGATAATGATACCTACAGCCATCGTCAAGACCCCACAGACCTGACCAGTGCCCCTCCAATTTCAACAAGCACATACATCATCTAGACAACTTGCAGAAATATATCTAGGAAGCTTGGGGCTGGTCCTGAGACTCTGCACTCCTGACACACTCCCAGGGGATGCTGGCCCCCAGACCACGCTTGGAATAGTGAGGGCCTAGATGATTTCCACAAGTTCATGAGATTGAAAAAGTTCCTACAATTTTAGAGATGGAAGCCTGGCATGTAATTAAATCTCTTCTGGGAGAAAAGGAGAGCCTTCAGAGTCCTGCATGGTCATACCCCCACAGGCTGCACCCGCGGCTCTGGCTATGACCCCTCACCCTTTACTTTATAGTGCTCTGACCTTCTTCTTTCCTGCTCCGGAACACTCCAGGCTTTTGCCCTCCTCATGGACTTTACACTTGCTGTTCCCTCCCCTTGAAATGCCTTTCCCTGCTCTTTGCATGGCTGGGTCTTTCTGATAGTCAGGTCTCAGATGGGCCTTCCCTAACTCCCCAGTCCACCTATCCTCCAGCTATATTTTTTTCTCTCTCCCTCAGTTCGCCATTGATTCTATAGAAGATTTATTGCAAGCTGCAATTGTCTTATGTATGTCTTTGTTTGGTTATCTCTCTCATTGGAGTGAAGCGAGGTCCACGAGGGCAGACACCACACCTGTCCTGTGCACCATCCTATCTGGCACATCCTATTTGTGCTACATCACCCTCCAGGCCAGTGGCATTCCACACGTGGTCTGTGGACTAACAGTGTACCACAAAATCCTGTGACTGGTCCACAACGAGAAGTACAGAAATTGAAAATAAATGTTGGGGAAATATAGTAGCAATTGACATCTAAGCATGTGATCAGACAACTCCTCTCACTGAACAGAATTCCACTGTGGTCAGACTCACATGGAAATCTCATGTGGCATGAGCTACATTCTCATCGCATGCAGTGAGCCCAAGAATCCTTCTGCAATCGGTGAAAAAAAAAAAATCAAACAAAAAAACCTGATCCTTCACCATAGAGCACCTGAGCAGCACCCTTCTAAGCTGTAGCTTAAGTGGAGGAAAGGAGGGGGAAATCCCTTTTCAATCAAGTAGAGAGAGGCAAAGATGCTTTTTTTTAAAAAGCTATAGTTCTTGAAAACATATTTTAAAAGAATACGTCAGCATTTGTGAGCTCAGCCACCCTGTGAGGTAGGAATTATTTTACATGTAAGGAAACATAGAATGGTTAATCGGCCTTGACCAGTTGGAGGGGCTGGGCAGGGGCAGATCTGGGCCACAGAGAGTGGCATCCAACTATAGCAGTGCTGGGTGGCTCCAAATGTGGGTCTGCCTCCAGCACCCAGGTCTGGCTAAGCCATCAAGCAGGTCTCCAAGATGTCAGTGGAAACTAAAGCAAGCAGCTCGTAAAAGAGCTGGCTGTGGGCGTCAGGAACTGGCTGGTGAAAACCCCAAATGCTTCGGCTCCAGACTAATCAGAGGAAGGCATCGTGAGGCTGTGATTAATGCTCGCTCATAAAACCACATGGTATAAAGGCCCCTCTGTCTGCTCTGCATCTGGCCTGCCTGAGCAAGTCGCCTGAGATTGGACAGCTCTCCCTTCCCATTCACCCTCCCCACTTTTTTTTTTTTTAATTACCAAGTGATCAGGACTGATTATATTTTCGAAATGGAACTGAATCTTGCTGTCATCCTTCCCAACCAGAATGAAAAATGGAGAAATTCTTAAGCCTTTAAAGATTAGTAACAATAAACCTAATAGCTAATATTTACTGAGTACTTACGTGTGCTAAGCTTAGCATATGCTAAGAGCTATGCATACGTGGTCTCGTCTAATTTGCCAACACTGTTAGGGATATACTGTTACTACCCTTATTCACAGAGGAGGAAACGGAGGCTCAGAGAAGTGACACCACTAGCCTGATGTCCCATAGCTGGCTTAAATGACAGAGCCAGGTCTTGGATTCGGGCCTCCCTGACTCCAAAGCTTAGGCTCCCACCTATCAAGCCAGGCCAGGAGAACCAGACAGGTAGGAGGAGAGGCAGAAAACAGCATGTATTTTGGGTTAGCACTTTTAAGGGAAGGCTTCTAAGAATAGGGAGGGACTTGGGAAAATCTTTGAAAGCTAGCCAGGATTTGGGAGAGGCAAGGATGAAAAGATGAAGGGAACCAGCATCCACTGAGCATTCTGCATGTGTGTGCGCACGTGTATGTGTGTGCGTGTGTGTGTGTGTGTGTGTATTTATGATGATGGGGAGAGAGGGTTGGGTCAGAGCTATCTGTGCCACTCAGAGCTTGTTAGAGACTCTCTCAGGAATCCCTGTGATATATTTATGATTATGATAAAAAAATACTATGATATATTTATATATATGATATATGTCATCAACATCTCACCACTCCCTACATGCTTAATAACCCCATTTTACAGGAGAGCAAACAGAGGCTCTTAAGAACCCATGCAGGTGTGGCACTCCTACCTTATCCTCTACTCCCACACCCATGGCAAACATTGCTGGTCAGTTAGAGCACGATCTTCCATTGAGTCTCTTTGGGCCTCAGAATCCTTCTCAACACAGCACTCAAGTAGCCACTGTTGATGGAGATTAGCATGTAACACAAAGCCCATGTACTGTCCTTGCCTGACCGCCAGAGAAGCCGAAAGAGCATGCAGGATGGGGTCTTCCGATTCCAGAGTCCATGTGTGTTCAACTATGCCCAACTTTGGGAATAAGGCATCTTTCTTTTCCACTTTTCTCTCTGCCTTTTGATTCTTCTCCTGATAAAGCCTGATTCTGGGAACCTCTTCACCCAAGATGTCCCAGCCAGACAGCAATGCACCAAATGACTCAGAAAGGTCCTCGTGAAAAACTTGAAACCTAAACCAACCTTTCCAACTGCTCTGAGAAAAGGCCTCTTGCTAAAGGTTTTGGGAACATGACCTTAATCAGCTTCCTGGAGGGATTTCTGAGAGATTCTCTTACAAGCTCTGAGTGGCACAGGCAGCTGACTCTGAGCCAGCCCTCTCTCCCCATCATCCCCTTCCCAAGCCCATGCCAGTCAACAGCAATTGTCTGAAGGGCTGTGTTGAGATGGACTGTGATGCCCTCACCGGGGTTGATGAGTAATGTCTACCACAGGTGTGTGAATAGGGTTCTCAGGCCAGCCAGGCAAGGCCAGCCATCACAAAACAACAACAACAACAACAACAAAACATTGGTGGCCACATGGTGTGGCCTTGACCCTGCAAAGGTAGAAAGCAGGTACTCAGCTGAGGCTTTGACCTGCAACAGGTTCCTGGGAGGGAACACTCCCTGTCTCCAGAGTTCTGGCCAGGAATCCATTAGCCCTGCAGGTCACAAACACCTGTAGCCAGGACAGAGCCATGAAAGGACACTGAATACAGGGATCAACAGACAGATGGCCAGCAAGGCCGCTGCCCCGGGACTCCTACCACAGTGTTTATTTGTAAAGCTATGCAGGGAGGGATGCATGCTCTTGAAGGCCGGAATCAGGGGCATATCCAAGGGCTGGGGGATCATCTCACTAGGCAGTGCCCACACAGCCTCCTCACCCTGAAATGAAGACAGAAGGAAACTCCCCTAGAGATTGGGGGAATTTGTTTTTTCCCTCTTTGCAAATCATTCGCCTTCTAGAGAGGCAGTGTAGAAGGGGTTGAGACCCAAGCTGCTGAGTACAAAGCTGTGTCCACCACAGACGAGTTGTGTGACCCTCTGGAGGTTATTTCTCTGTGCCTCGGTTTTTCGAGGGGTGATATTAGTGCCTTCCTCCTGGGGGTTCTGTGAGAAGTAAACGGGCTAACATGGGTCAGGCATTTAGAAGGGTGCTGGAACATAGTAAGTACCATGTAAGTGTGAGCTCTTCCTGCCATTCCTTCAACCACTCAACCTGGGAGGTCAGCAGCCCTCACAGAAGAAGAGGCTGTGCTCCCATGAGCTCGATCAGCCATGCATTTGGAACTGCTTCCACAGTGGGAGCGAATGAGATGCTAGGCAGGTCTGGGTGCCCTTTCTGGCACGGTGAGCCATAGTCTTGTCACCACCTCCCCATCCCTTCCACAGATCCCGAGGACGGGGCAGGCCTCAGACACGAAATAAGAAGACCTGGGATAGATATTTGCCCCCCCCACCCACCTGTCTCTAACCCATCTCCCCAGGGCCCTGTGCCCTGCCCCAGCCTGTGTGCTGCTGGTCTGCTGCTTGCCCTGTCCTCAGATGGTCACACCCCTTCCCCCTACCCACTGTCCCTGAGTCCTCCGATGTCCTGCTTCAGATGACCCAGGAGGACCTGCAAAAGTGCTCACTTCTGGGCTCCTCTGGACTCCCAAATCAAAGTCTAGGGTGATCCCAGGAAGCTTTTTCACAAGGTGGTCAGGCGATTCTCATGCACCCCAAAGTCTGTGACTAGGTTCTTCAGACCTACCTGCCTGGCATTTTTGTGCTGGAAGCCACCTGTGGTTTCATACTGACCCAGGGAAAAACAGCATCACCCCACACCACCCGCAGACAGAGTCAGGACCGAGCCTTTCCCAGACGTGTGGTCAGCCGTGTGGCTCCTTGGCACTTCTTCTTCCGTGTGTTGGGGTTCAGAGTCTTGGCCTCTTTGGCGAACCGGAAACCACGGGTTTCCTTGAGCTGCTTTCCTGCACTGTAGACCCGGGTCAGTGCTACTGCCTCTCTCTCTGCTAATTGTGGTGAGGACCGAGTGAGGTCACCACAGACTTCTCACAGTGCTCAGGACCCTGAAGATCACGCAGTCTACCCCAAACTTTGCAATGATGAAACCGAGGCCTGGGTGGCTGGGTACTTTCTCAGTGTTACACAGAGAACAGCATCAGGGAGGGAGCTAGAAACCAAATTCCCTGACACCCTAAGATTCTATCTACCACCCAGTCCATCTCCTGTGCCTGAAAAAGCACCTGGAAAAGTCCTTAGGGACTGTGCAGGTGAAGGGGGATTCACAGTATTCTGTGAGCCCACAGGTGTTCCAAGCTCTAGGGCAGAGCCACATAGGGCCATCTACAGCCACCTCTCACTTCATGAGTCCCACAGAAACCCGGGTCACCTGCCTCTCCCTCCTCTAAAACTGCTCTGACCCAGAATTCATTTATCATGGAAGTTAGCAAACCAGGCTCCGGACTAGTACGCCCCTCCATCAGGTTCCTCGCCCCTCCTCCCTAACGTGAGGCAAAAGCCAGGATTGTTCATTATGAATTACAGTATGACTTTCCATGTTGATTACCACAATCCAGTTCCAACCACGGGATGTGACAGGACACAGGCAGGTTCCAAGAGGGTAAATATGGCAACAGCCACCTGGGCAGTGGGAATCCGGCAAACTGGTGGGGGTGTCAGAGTCACAGTCAGGGTCAGGCACAGAAATGGAGACCAGTTGTAAAGGATAAACAGTTTGCTTTTCACACTTCCTCATGCTGTGTGGCCTTGACCTTTTTCTCCTCTGAATCTCCCCATCCCTGCAACCCACCCAAGTATAAGATTACTGTTCATTACAAAAAAAAAAAAAAAAAAAAAAAAAAAAAAAAAAAAAAGCCAAATTGGACAGTTATCTATGGACATATTAACATTCAGATGGTTTTCAGTCATACTGATGTGGAAATGTTATTAACACGAGACCTTATCAATTTGTTCTATTAGAAGGTGCCTTTGCCTGTTTTTAAATGAACAAACCATGAAATACCTTACGCCTATAATGATTTAATTATACTTTTCCAAGCAAAGCAATTTTAAACTAGATTGACTCTTTTTCTTTTTAAGGAGCATTGCCATGAGGTAAAGCAAAGTAAAAATATTTAGTTTTGAAGGAAACCAAATCTGCGTTGCAAAGCCAACGCATCCAGTACAACACTCCCATTCAGAATGTGAATCTGAGACCACTTGGGTGGAGAGTGACAGCTTATTTAGGCCTCTCCGGGTGTCGCCAAATTCACAACATTTCTGCCTTGACAAGCCTCGGGGCTCTGCAAAAACAGATGGAGAAGCTGGAGGCTGCTCACCAATTCCAGATCTGGCTTGGGTGCCTGAGAATCACAGTCGGTTTATCTCCTCCCCACTAGGGCCTACAGTACATGGAGCTCATCCCCAAAGAGAAGCAGCCGGTGACAGGCACCGAGGGCGCTTATTACCGCCGACGCCAGCTCATGCAGCAGCTCCCCATCTACGACCAGGACCCCTCTCGCTGCCGCGGACTTCTGGAGAATGAGTTGAAAGTAATGGAAGAGTTTGTCAAGCAATACAAGAGCGAGGCCCTCGGTGTGGGAGAGGTGGCCCTCCCTGGGCAGGGTGGCTTGCCCAAGGAGGAAGGGAAGCAGCAGGAAAAGCCAGAGGGCACAGAGACCACCGCTCCGACCACCAACGGCAGCATCGGTGACCCGTCCAAAGAATACGTAAGTGTCTGCCGTGCCTCCAGGTCTGGCTGAAAAAACCAGGCCCAGGGCTTGCACAGGCAGGGCCCCAGCTCCAGGCTCTTGCCCCTCATTCCAACATTCATTTCACGCATTCATGTTGCCAGCGGCTGTTTGGTGCTCAGTTACTCTGTGCCAGGCATTATCCTGTGGCAAATAACACAAGGTCACTGTGCTTGAGAGGCTACTCGTCCAGTGGAGGTCACAGGCTACCAAACTGCCACGGCTTAGAGAAAGGGCATCTAACCTTGCTTGAGGTGAGGGCGGGCTTGGAGGAGGCGCTGAGGCCCAGCCTGGCCGGGAGAAATGACTAGGATGAATTCAGGCTTGGCAGGGAAGACCCAGGCCATCTTAAAGAGGCAAGCTTGGGCAAAACAACCCTAAGTTCCAGAGAGCATGGTGGAGCCAGAGGATTGAACAAAGTCCCATGTGCCTGAGAGTGTGGTGTGCTGGGGGGCGTGGGGACACGACGCTGGCAGGGTCAGCAGGGGCACACTTCCTGAAGAGGCAAGCCTTCCATCCATTCATCACCCAAGTATCAACCAGCCTGTACTGTCCGCCAAGCCCCCAGGAAATCAAACAAGTGGAGGACACCGTCCCCACACTGGAGAATACCATGGATGTAGGACTTCACTCTGAGGGCCATCGGCAGCTATGGCAGGTTTCAGCGGGAGCTGTCACAGGATCTGAGCTGTGCTTGGGAAGGCGCCCTCTAGCAGCATGTGGAAGATGTGCTGTAAGGGAGTGAGGGACTGGAGGCTATTTGAGAGAAAATGAAGAAGGTAGAGTGTCCGGGAGGTGAAAACCTCATGGATGGCTTTGTCTTCATCTGCCCCAGAGGAGGTATAAAGGACTAGCTGGAGACGGGTACCACAGAGGGCTGATGTTTGCTGTTTCACGGCCTCTGGCTCCCGTCTACCTTTTGCCCTCTGCCCCAGTCAGCCAAGTGACTTCAGCTGCCTCTAATTGTTATTTGGAGATAAATGTCCCAATATGTGGAGCCCTCAAGCAAATAACCTGCCTTGCTGGTAACAGGCTGTCAGTCGCCCGTGTGAGCCGGACCGCCCAGGGAAATGCCAGTCCTGGTGATGTTGTCACTACATTCAGAAAGGGCCAGGCTCTTTCCTGCCTGTAGTGACTCAAACTTGCCATCCAAAACCTGTGTCCTGAATGTCCAACCCCCATTTGTTGGCACGTTCATTTGGGATTACCATCCAGTGAACTATGGCCGCACACAGTCAATCTGAGAACTCTAAGTCAAAAGAACAAAACTTATTTTCCTTACCACAGGTTTGGCGATGGTGTTGAAAAGACCCATTTCCGAGGAAGAATCCATGTCCCAGCAACTTAAAAAAAAAAAAATTAGATCCAATTACAGTGTTTCATAAATTAGTGTCCTCCCCATCCAGCCCTATATCCAAATAGTTATCTGTCCTTAAAGCATAAATACTGCATAATTCCAAGTTGGAAGGCGATCTCTTTAAGTCGTTGCGACATTTCCCAATTGCCATTCCCAGGAGAGATAATCTATTTTATCCTTGACTCAGCCCCACATATTTGTACAGCATGGAAGTGGGGCAAAGGTGGCCTGAGATCCTGAGCCCCTGCCTATCGTCAACTTTAGGAAGTAGTTCTGACAGTTTGGAAGCATTTAAACAATAAGACCAGACCAAAAACAGAATTTGAAGGAAGCCCGTGGTGGTTGGGCTGGGCTGGCTAGGGAAAACGGCTTTCTCCTTCCTTATCCTACCCCCAATCTTGATTGGATAAATCCCTGCCTGTACGTCATGTGTTCATGTCACCTCTAGGTACTGCGGGTTTCTTTTTCATCTCTGTATCTTCAGCAGGTGCCATTGATATAGATAGTAGGTAATAAATATGTGAACCATGAATGAATGAACAAATGGATGAATCAGTGAATATTCAGACTAAATAGAGCCTCTAACGATGGGGACAGTTTAGATGACCATTTTGCCCTGGAGGATGATGAGATCCAAGTTCACATTTATTAAGCACCTGCTGTGTGCCAGATGCCATGCCTACTCTTTCAGAGTCTTTGTTTAACTCCCCCAGCTGCCTAGTAGGGTGAATTTCACCAACCCCATTTGACAGGTATGGAATCAGAGATTCTAGAGGGTAGGTAACTTTTCCAAGGTTCCACAGTTTCTAAGGAGTAGAACCTGGATCCGATACTTTTCCAACTACATGATGCTGAGTTATAAAACCCTGCTTATTATCTGTTCCAGGAAGAAAGAAGGCTGGGTGCTTTTATTGACTCCCTGTTTATCTCCTAGAAGCCAGGGAGCAAATCCTATAAAGGTAGCTAGATAGCCTGCCAGTCCATAGACAATGTGTCCCCAACAACCCCAAATTTGTTCTGCCTTACCCTAGTCAATGGCCAAGTCAAGTGGACGTGGGTGCTGGCCATCCTGTGTGTTGTGTCCCTTCTGTTTCTCATAAAGGGGAAGTGTAGGACAGTTACCAGAGCCAAGCATCAGGCAGGAAGCCTGATTTTTGCTTCCCTGAGGAGGACAGTGGACTTTGCCAGAAATGGTCAGGGCATTCAATTTGAGAACCCAGATATGGGGAGGAAATTGTAGAACTCAGACTGATGCCCCAAATCCAAGCGGTGATTTATGAGGAAAAAAAAATGGGCAAAAGAAAGAACACGTGAAACACATTTTCCTAGAATGATCTTGGTGACATAATATTGTTTGTCATCCTAAGAGTGATCATTATTACTATCGTTAGCAGCTACGATTTGGCTTTCTCTGAACCAAGGGCAGCGCTAAGAACTAGAGGGTCTGATTTAAAGCCCCCAACCACCCAATGACTTGAAGAAAAGCTGTGGGATTTGAACCAACCCCCCATCAGTCCCCAAGTCCATCTTTCCTGTTGCCCAAAGCTTGTTCCTCGGATAGCTAATGGATATTAGATCCTAAAGGGGTTACATGGCCATGTAAGTTTGGGAGACATTAGAGTAACCAAAACTAAGTGGGTTTCTTTGAGGTAGGACTTCTGAGAGCCTCCGGCAGGTTGTGGCTGTGGTTCTCAAACTAAAATCACCTGAAAGGCTGGCTAAAATCCAGAGGACTGGGCCCCACCCCAGAGCTCCCTGCTTAATAGGAGCAGGTGGGGCCAGAGAATCAGCTATTCTAATGAACACCTGGGTTGATGCTGACGCTGGTCTGGGGACCACTGCTAAAAAAAAGTGTAAAAATAATTTTACATATAAGCCGAGGAAAAATAATATCATTAAATTGGCATATGGTGAGGATCAGAGAAGACAACAGGGCATTCTATAGATGTTTTAGGCCTCCTGGCTTAGGGAGTCCAGCTCTGAGGACTCTACATAGGAATCTTCCTTTAAAGACCCACAGGGAGTTCAGGAAACACAGGCAGGGCATCACACACTGCATTACACCACACCCAACCACACTACTCAGCAGCCTGAGGCCACCAGCTCCCTTTTCACGGAGCCACAATCAGCCTATGCTGCAGGGCACTTCTGTGAGCTGGCACGGCTCCGTCTACACTGCAGGGCGTTTCTCCTCGGAGCTGGCACGGCTCCATCAATCTGCTGTCAGCCCGTTACAGTGCTGTCCTTCCTCAGAGACCTTGGGACCCAAGCTACGACAGGATCAGGCTGTTGAGTCTTCACCAAGCCCCTCCACCAAAATGTGCTCAGAGGAAAGGGCTCTCCAGACCAGAGGAGCATTGCTGCCAAAAGCCTTTTCCACCTTGTCCATGTGGAAATGGGCCCCTTGAGCTGAGTTAGGGTGAGGCCACATGTATAACAGAGGTCTAGCCAGATTGTGGGAACAGCACCCTCTGAGCTCAACTCACCCATATGGCTGGGGCTGTGCAGTCCTTAGATCCGGGTGCAGTTCACAGATGTGCACCCCAGCTTTCCAACTCCAGGCCTGCACACCCACCCCTTGACGGGATAGGGCAACCTAACATCAGCCGAGGCTCACCTGAGAAGAGAACCCAGGAGCTGTGGCTGCCCTTGCCCACCTCAGAGCAGCCCTAAAGAGTCATTATTACACTGAGCTTAGGAGAGGCAGGACACCATGGGAAATGCTGTCAGAGGCACCTGTCTTTGTGAGGAAACACCGCAGTGAAAAATCCCAGATGCTAACTCAGCCAATGTCACCCCACAAGTGTGTCCTTTAAATCAGTGAGGCCAATTAAAAACCCCAAATACTTAATGTCTCCCCCCTCTCCTTTACTTGCCCCACCGTGTGTGTGTTGGCAAGGAAGGGGGGCAGGTGGGAAGGGGACTGTTCACAGCAGGCTCACTCATGTCTTTGAGTCCTCCTAACAACTACTGGCAGAGGCTGGAGTTGTTCATACCCATTTCACAGCTGTGAAACCTGCAGCAGAGAACTTAAAAGGCTTGCCGATGAGAGGTGGGACTGGGATTCCATCCCAGATCCTTGTTGGTCACCAGTCTTGAGGAGTCTGAGCGGTCCTGGGGTGGGGCCCTGGATGGGTGAGGACAACTCCACAGAGGTGTGTGTATTTATGTTTGCTGGTTGAGCCACAGAGTTTAGAGTCACCCACAGCCCAGTTCAGTGAAGAATCTGGGGGCCTCTTGTAGGCATGCCAAGAACAATGGAAGGCCTCGCCCATTACACCCCAATCCCACCCACCATGGGTTCTCATGGGTTTGGGGGACTTCAGAGAGCTCCATGGCCAGGGATCTGCCAACTCCAGCAATCTGGAACATTCCCTGGAGAATGGCAGAGCCCCATATCCACTTTCCAGGCCCTCCGCGCCCCACCTTTCCCACCTGGATGGAACCTATGAGCGCCTGGGCTGCTAGGTCAATGACCTCAATGCTCTGATTGTTAACAGCCCCACCAAACCATTTCCCTGCATTTAGAATGCTTACTTGGTATTTTCTCAGAAATGAAATGTGCGGATTTCCTGGGCATGGAATTTCCTCCCTTCCCTACACCCCAAACTTGTAACTGAAGAAAGGG